GCGAACCTCGTATGATAGACAAACCTCGTCGAACGAACGAACATCGTCAAACAGGCGAACCTCGTATGACAGACGAACTTCGTCGATCGAGCGAACCTTATCAAACTACAAGAACGCTAGGGTCAGCCTCGTGCGAATACGTAGCTCGTCTGCATGTTGCGAAGCAGCCTGCGAGGCAACCTTCGTGGCGCCAAACAGCGCCACCTCGCCCCGATGCATCCGTGCGAAGTGCAAAGTGCGCCTAATAAAGCGTCACTTAGCGCCTCAGCCCGATTAGCCCCCGATCCCCGGCCTACGGCCCACGACCCACGACCCACTAGAACTTATGAGGGATTAATTCAAATAAAACACTTCTCGGCTTGCCGTTGGCAAGCCTCGAACAAGGGACCTTTTGAAACACCAAAACATAAACTTTCCACTAGGCTACTAAGCATTTATGAAAAGTACTTGTAGTTAATATATATATAGTTTGAAAACTCATTTTGGAAAGCAGTTTTGACCAAAAAATCCAACACTTTTATCTCGGTCATGTTTTTTTAGCATTTATAGAATTCATGATAAAGAGATAAAAGGTGACCAGTCTCAAAGATCAATTATTATACTTTATCTCAATCTGACCCAATTCCTATAGTTTCCCCCGCTAATTAGAGACAATTGATTTAATTTTGTCTTATCCTCAACATGCCATGTTAAGGGATATCAACTGGATAACCAATTTTTCTAGTTGTCAGCTTTCATAACTTGTCAATCTACACATACATCGATCCGTCATCCTACGTCAATGAGGTACTACCATATGATAACACTTGTCACCCAAGTAAATACCTTGCAGACCAAGTAACTACTTCAATGGCCAAGTACACACCGTAAAAATATCGATAGTCAGGATGGTGACATGTGTAGACGCTGATATGCCCTAGCCAATTAGTATTAATACTCCTACCTAAAGTAAAAACAAAGCTAAGATGTGATAACCTTTGACCTAGGCTTGCCTCTGCTGACCTGGTTAAGTGTTGTCTTCCTGTAAAACCTAGCCTATTTATTTTCTGTTTATGATCTTTTATCAAGGACCTGACTTAAGCATTGGAGGCGCATTGGTGGATAGCCCACCATCGTCAATCTAACACTTTTTCTGTGGTCTTAGGGCAAACCAAGTAGGCTCCACTACGCTCAGAAGAGAAGATCTACTTTTGTCATCAAATCCGATCGAGGGGCCTTCTACGATAGAGTTTAATCTCACAAACTTAATCCTGTTAAAGGATTTCGTCCATCAACAGCTCCAAAATGGCGAACGATTCCACCCACGTAAAGAACAAAATTTGCAATCCCCCGGAAGTTAAAAGTAATTGTAATTGTTAAATCCTGTTAAAGGATTTCGTGCATCGACAGCTCCAAAATGGCGAACGATTCCACCCGCGTAAAGAACAAAATTTGCAATCCCTCGGAAGTTAAAAGTAATTGTAATTGTTAAATAACCCTTAAAATGTTTTGTTATCACTGAGTTTCATCTCAGTTCATGCTAAGCATTGACTCTCTAATTAGCAAGAAGCCACATACTGGAGGTCCAACCATGTAGATTCAAAGGCTTTTGCTTTAATCCCTAAGTCGCACCCCCATTTACCTTAAAACCCATGTAGTTTTTCTCATGCACCGAAAATATAAAGTTTTACTTACCTTTAATCAAAATATAGAATACAAAATGTATAGGTACATATAATAGGGTGCGTATCTGTATATGATAAGAGTATAGCTTGCGTACAATATGGCAAATAGCCAGGCATTGTAGAGTGACCAAACAAATGATATTATTTCATTCATGATTTTGTGATCACAAGGAAGAAAACAAACACCAATAATGAGTAGGAACGGAAATGTCAAAGTTTCAACTTCTCATTAGAGCATTTGGGGTTCCAAAAAGGATATCAACAATCTGTAATTCAACTTGAAATTTTCAGTATGAAAATCCCAGAGTATTATGCAGCTACACCAAACTTTGTGCAACAACTACATGGAACAAGCACGCGCAAAGCATGTACATTCCCAACTAGTATTGCCAAACTCAGGTTGAAGAATATCTCGTCTTACTATAACTCGCGAGACAAATTGGCAAATATAAACAACATAGATTCGGGTTATAATTTCATAAAGAGATGAAAACCCCTATTTTCTATTAGCACTTGCATTGACAAATAAATAAATAGTAATAAAAAAAATTAATTTGTTAATAATTGCATCCTATTAATAGAAAATTCTTCTGTGAAGAGAAGGGGGGGCGACGGAGGGAGGTTGAGCGCAAGCATACTCTTCTTAAATTACCTCATTTTCCCCAAATACAGCATTCGAAAGTAAGAATAATCTGGAAGTTGAAATTGAACTGAAATTGGAAAATGAAACCATAAGAGACCAAATAATAGAAGTAAGAGCTTGTTAACAACAGAGAAAATGAAACTTAAAGAGAGCCGCTACCTCAGCTTCAGTTCCATTTGACTGACACACTCTTTAAAAAATAGCTCCCCAAGTTTTTCCTAACTTCAGTATCAACTAGCAAATCTTAGAAAGTAAGAGAGCTTGTTTAGCAACAAAGAAACAGTGCAAATGGTCAACCTAACAACTTTGGGCACCACATATCAAAATAACCCAGACTTGGGCATCATATTTGAAATTTATCCCAAAAAAAAGAGCATATAAAGTTTGCAAGTATCATCTGATTCAGCTAAAATAACTTACACAAAATATAATCTTTATCTCTAAATAAGCAAAGGTTTTGTTCCTTCAATACCAAATTGCATCGTGATGGATATGAATGTTTAAATACCCGGGGTTTGTCTCTGCAACATCTAACCAGTTTCTACCTCAGATAAGTTTTAACTTATAAATTGTTTATGCAGCTCTTCAGTTACGCATTTTGCAGACAAATTTCCAATAATCGACCAACTTGTGGTCCTCTGGTACAACTTGATCAGGCTTTCCTACACAGAATATCGCGTATGCATCTGCTGCATACCTGCAATAATTAAAGGAAAGAAAACAAGTTATAGCTTTTTCCTTGTCCAGCAAAAATAAGAAGACAGCCTCAAGAACAAATGACTGTGCATAAGCAGCAATTGATGGCGTGGCTGCTGCTCGTCATCCCTCTTGGTATTTTCCGTGGGAAGCTTGGAATTGAGGAGACCGTCAAATTAATTCCACTTGAAAGAGTTACTGGTTCCTGTTATATATTAAAAAAAATTCATTTTTGCATATTATTTTGGTTGCTCGTGTTAATTTTGGTTTTCAGGTATAAGGGATGAGGATTAGTTGAAGTCATGACGTTGAAATTGACGTATCTTAAAGTGCAAGTTTCATCTGCTGCCATGTTTCTAGAACGCTCATGCAGACAATGAGCTTTCTTTTCCCCTCTTTAAAACCATAAAAGAGCATCAGGGTTGTGCCATTTAACTTAAAGTTGGAGTGCAAGATTAAGTTTTCCCATATTTTCAATTGAACTTTGAGATCGATTAGTTGAAATTTCACAAAACCTGCCCAAAATATGGGATGTACGGGACAAACTAAATTTATAAATTATTGAGATTGAGAAGCATGACTTCTAAGCAGTTTTGTTCTGATGGCGCACATTAAGGGGAGATCTCATTAACGAATGCACCACTCACATTGAAGGGGGGTTTTAGCTCAACAGGGAGGAAGCGCGACTCAGTAGTGAGCTCTCGAACGACACCGATCACTAAATATACCTCTGCAGTTTAGATTGGGGACACTGAAGTTTTAAGCCTCTAACCTTTGGCTAAAGTAACTGACAAACAAATTTAACGGCAGATGCTATTCCTTTGTCTGGATTAAGGGATCAAGCTATTTTAGCTAGGCCCTCTGGATCAGGAAGTTCATCTACTGTTGATTGGGCTCGTCATCTGGTGTAGGGGTGTGCATTTGGTCGCTCGGTTCAGTTTGGCCAAAATTAGCCAAACTGAAACCAACTGTCCTTTGTTGTGGAACCGCGCATACCTGCTTCCATTCTGTTCGATGGGTACAGGTCGGTTATATCTGGGGTATCGACTAAATCAGTATCGATGCTTCTTTTCTCTAATGGGTATATTCCTTTATCCATTGCTTCTATGTAATCACATGAATGATTGATTCCTACTGGGTCAAGTTCTTCTTTAATTGATCCTGAAGGAAAGTTGTGACATAAGAGGCTGCTAAGTTGAGTAGGGAACTGGTTGACACTTGCATATAAAGTAAGAACCTGGACAATTTGTTGCCAAATGTTAATATTTGACAATTACCATGCATAGTACACCAGTACATCGCAAAGCTTCACATCATTGTTATAAATAGCGGTAAATAGCCACGCAATAGTGACGCTAATAGCGTTAGCGGTCCCTTCCCGCGACGCTATCGCGCAATAGCGATGACATATTGCAGAATATGTCTGTTTGCAAAAGCGGTCAATAGTGTGTCATAACGGTAAATAGTTAGCGATTGCATTCGAAATTTGCTTTTTGACTGCTATTTAAAAGTGGTTTGAGACATATTTTTTAAAAATTAAACTCAACCCTTGACCATTGCATTCCACCATCTCCTATGATTTTTAACATCCTCCTGCCACCTCTCATAGCCTCTGGTACCTACCTTGATACTTCCTCTCACCTCCTTCATCGTGAGCTCCTCTTAGGGCATTCTTGTCACCGCTAAGCTCTTCTTCTCGAATATGATGACTTTTTAACTTTTCCAGTCATCTTCGATATTACGTGATGGTTACATGTCTATTTCATGTTTAGTATCCTTTAAATCATCCAATATGTACTTTTAGATTTATTAGATTTTTCTTTAATTTTTCTTTTTTTAGTATTTATACATATCTAAATTAGACCGCTATTTGACTTTGCGCTTTTTACCTTTATTTTGCCGCAATAGCCTGAAATAGCCTTAGCGATGCCTCACCGCTACACGACGCTTCACATGATATTTAACTGGAAGTATTTAAATGAAAAGGAATACAAATTTAAAACCATTGAAGTTCCTCTAGCTCTGTGAACCATGCTTCTATGAACATTGATGACTATTGAACACAAGCAACGTTTTCTTATGAACCGGCTTTACCAATAGCAAATCCAAAACCGATCGCTGGTGACGTCAAAGGGGCTGCTCTTACATGGACCTTCTGTCTAAAGTCGAATCCAAAGTAGAAGGGTCGAAGATTATGAGGAAATGATGCGTAGAGGAGAGACAAGAGGAAAGAGGAAGACAAAGGGTGTATTGGAATCTCATAACTCAATTTTGTTGCAACTAATCCGCAGATCGCAATATCATCACATTATGAAACAATACACACGTTTAACAAAATATGAAGTACATGTGACTGAGTCAATCAGTTGGACTTTTGCGTAGTTTGATATGACTATATAAGCACTACCCTTCAAAACCCTATAACAGAATATCCCCCCATACGGTCGTTTTGGACAGTTCAGGTAGAATTATGTTCAGCTCGACCCAAACCGAAGTTTATTTAGAACCGACCCAGATGGCCGTAGTTCGGCCAGTTCGATCAGTTAGCTCAATTTGAGCTGAACTGTGGTCAGCCCCAATCTGATGGATCTGCTCCTAGGGTTGTGTCTGAGGCTGATTTGGGGGGAAAGGGAGGCAATGTTGATATCGAAGATAAGGATTGTGTTGATGCTTGTATGCACAAGGATGGTAAAATTGGGAATAATTCTAGTTCTAAATGGATGGATTTAGTAGAATAGGAGGAAATGGAGCTTGAAGAAGCTGCAAAAGATACACCTAAGGACGAGAAAAATGCAATGATGAATTGGCGCAATTTGTTGAAGGATAATAGCTAGTTCCGGTACGTCTCTTTGACTATGTTTAACTTGTAAATGGGTCTTGTGTGAGTTTGAATGAGGATGAATGGACTGAGGGCGCCCAAAATTGGGAATGTTGTCGGCTTGGCTGCTGGGTTTAAATCCATGGAACATTATGTGAAATTGAACTGGGGGAGATTTAGCAAGCCTAAAATTTTGGTAATCAAGCCCGGTATGCTTGTATTCCAGTTTGATACTGAGACAGAAAGACAAGGTGGGTTAGACAATGGACCTTGGCTCTTTGATGGTAAAACAATGTACTATAGATCTCAATCCAGACAAAATTGAAACCAGTGTGTTTCCTATTTGGATTCAGATACCTAGTCTTAAATTGAATTTATAGACATCTACTGTTTCATCTGAGATTGCCAGTGTTGTTCGAAGCCTAGTTGTACTGATAAGCTTACAGCTACAAGGGATAGATTGTCATATGCCAGGGTACTACCAGTCATGCTACCTGATAGTGTTGAAGTTAAAGGTCCAAAGGAGGAGCTTGTAAGCAACAAACAGTTTATGAACACAAACCTAAATGGTGTTAGGTTTGTAAAAAATTGAGGCATATTGAGGACCAATGTTTCAGGAAGAAGACCAGGTGGGTGCCTAAAAATCCAAGGGTTAAACTGGATAAAAATAAGAAAGGTATGGATGGCAATGTGGAGAATCCAGTTACTCCCGTAGACAAATTTAAGGAAGTGGTGGACAGCTTTTAACCTGTTAAGCCATCAGGAGGGAATAAGTCAGTTGCTGGAGAGAAACATCAAACTCCTGATGTCAGCCCTTCAAAGAGGAAACTACTAAGTGTGAGGTAGTAATGTGCTTCAAGTTCTTCAGGATGTCCATGACGCTAATGTGGATGATGTGCCTCATACTACTGAGGAGCTTAGTGATGGTACTAATCCGGCGCAACTCTAATTGATATGAGTATGCAATATGCTTTCTGGAACATCAGAGACTTTAATTGCCCCAATAAGCACAAGGTTGTGCATAACTTTATTAATGAATATCATAATAAGCTTTGATTTTGGTTGAAACTAGAGGTAAAGAAAATAAAGAAGGGCTAGTTTCTAACCAATTTCCTGGCTGGAAGTAGCTTAATAGTTACTCCCATGCACACACAATGGCAGAAATTGGGCACTATGGGATCCATGAGTCTATCATGTTGATGTTATTAATGAGTGATCAATTTCTACATTGCTCTGTTCAAACAACAAATGTTAACTTCAATATAGTTTTACTGCAATTTATGCTTCAAATTCATTAGATCAGAGACGAGCTACGGGAGAGAATTGCTCAGTTGGGTAGGGCTGTTTGGGTGCCCTGAAATCTCACTGGAGATTTCAATAGTATTTTGAATCAAACTAAAATGTTACATTGAAATCATATAACTGAAAGTGATGATAATGGCCTTAAAGAATTGGGCAATGTGATCTTGTTCACATGGAAGTCCATTGGATGTTGGTGTGTACTCAGACAAACAAGCAACGTATTGGAGAGAGGATATGGTCTAGAATTGATAAAGTTTTTGTTAATCAAGCTTGGTGGATACATAAAATTTCTAAGTTATGTGGATCTTATACCTTCAAATATTTATGATCATTCTGCTGGCATTGTCACAATTCATATTGAGTTAGGTGGAATGGGGAGGAAGCCATTTAGGTTTTTCAAAATGTGAATGAACTATAGTGCTTTTTTGCCTCTGGTGAGGAATGTTTGGAGTAGAAGAGTTCAGAAGTGTAAGATGCACCATGTTATTACTAAACTGATGATGCTAAAGAAGGAACTGGGGAAGTTCAATAAAAAATATTATGCAGATAATGCTAAAATAAGTTGAAATGTGAGAAGTGAACTTGAGGAGGCACAAGTTTTGTTACAACACCATAATTCTAATATTGTTTTGGGTATTAAAGAAGGATTCGTTCGAAAATTATAGTAACTTGCTATGCTGCTGAAACTCTCTTCTATCAAAGATGATCAACATTCCCCTTTCTTCCAGCAGTCCTTAAAGAGAAGATAACAAAGTAATTCTATTATGGCTATAAATTCTGAGGGTTGTAAAATTATTAAGCCTATAGAGGTTTCTGAAATTCTCTCTTATTATGAAAGCTTTTGCTTGGTTCTTCTATGGAAGTTCCTGAGCTTGACTCTA